CATAGGATGAAAAAATAAAATAAATAAATAAATCTAAATAAATAAATCTAAATCCCTAACTGTGTAAATTCAGGAATCAGCAAGCCATGGGGCAGAGTTTCTTTTTATTGGAGGTGCCTCCCCCAGAACCCCAGAAATTGACCAATTTGGTAGCTCTGGTACACCCAGAAAGCTAGATCTATTGCTCTTACTTAGGTGTCCATATCACCAACTGGAAGAATATCTTTATCCAGTAAGTCCATGGCCCTATCTTTGGGGGAAAGAGCATCCAAGATTCTGTACCAGGAAAAAATCTTGGAGAATGGAGAACATTGCCTAAGCATCTGCAGGAAATAGGTTTAGGGTGGAAGAGTCAGGGTGGAAGATGGTTCCCGTGACAATCATCCTCAATGCTTTGCGAAACCAGGAATAAAACATGCCATATATAATGGGATTGAAAGTGGAATTGAAATAACCCAGCCAGAGGAAGACATTGTACAAATCTTCAGGGGTTGTAAAATTAATGAAAGGGTCTGTGATCGTCAAGACAAAAAAGGGCAGCCAGCACAGCACAAACACTCCCATGACTATGCTTAAAGTCTTAGTGGCCTTGCTTTCTTTTTTGGATGATACTTTCATTTTGCTTTCTGACCCTCCCTGTTTCCTGATAGGACTCATGCCAATTTGCCTAGCATGCTTCCTAGCTACTATGAAAATGTGTATGTAAATCCCCACCACGACAGTCCCAGGGAGAAAGAAGGCTATAAAGGAGGCCAGCACCCCCCAGAGCTTGTTAAATATCAATACACACAAGCCTGTGCAGTCAATGGCTGCAACAAAGTCTTCTGCACCAATTATGTTGAACTCTGAGAATACCAGGCCAAAGGCAAAAAAGATGGGAATGGACCAACTGATGAGCAGAAAGACCTCTCTCACAGGGATGGTAATTTTGGTGACATAATGCAAAGGGTCACAAACAGCATAGTAGCGTTTCACTGAGATGAAGCAGAGGTGAAAAATAGAGGTGGTGCAGAGCATGATGTCACAGCAGCTGTGGACTTTGCAAAAGAGGTCTCCAAAATACCAGCAGGACTCGATGGACCTGACCATACTGAAGGGCATGACCACACAGCTCAACAGAAAGTCAGTGGTGGCCATGGAGAGAATCAGGAAGTTGGTTGGGGACTGGAGCTGCTTGAAGTGGGTGATGGAAATGATCACAACCAGGTTGCCCAGCATGGTCATCACTATAACACCAATCATGATAATGTACATGGCACACACACTCAGCACAGACCTCACATTTCTAGGGCATGAATTGTTGACCAAAGCAAAGCAAACCTGTACTTCTGAAGTGTTCCAAAGATCAGGTGAATTCATTGTCTTTGTCCTGTAGATACTATTAGTCTTTTGCAAAAGTACTGTGCTTCTCTCCTTTCTGTGAAAGAAAGAGGAAAAACAAGGAAAACTGTTGGTGGGCAAATTTTCAGAAAGGCCCAGCTATCTGCATTTCTAATCCCAAATTGAACTCCCTATCTACCAGGAGCATTACTTTTCAAATTCAAATATTAAAGTACATAGGAATCACCTAAGGATCTTTTTAAAACACAGATTCTGATTCTGGGGTGGACGTTGAGATCTCGTCTGTAATTCTCACTGGCTCTCAGGAGATGCTAATGCTAGTAGTCCAAAGACTGTCCCTTAACTAGGAAGGAACTAAAGACAACTAAATGAATATTGTCACCCAACGTCTAAGTAACCCAGTTAAAACCACCTAAGCAACCCAGGTAAATGCCCATGTTCTGATTGCACTAATACGTAGCCCTTTCTCAGGATGCCAAATCTATAGACAGATTGAGAATTTTCTCTGTTCCACTTAAATTAACCATTTTGCTGATAAAAGCCCCTCAAGAATAACTGGGACCTATGGAACCATTATTTAGTATTTAACTCAAACAATAATTACAATCTAAAGATTGTGCTTTTTTTCCCCCTTAATTTCTCTTGTGGGTATTTGCAAATTCTTCGGATCCTGTTGCTTGATACACACTATTTAATTTAAGAAACATTTCTCTTTCCAATGTGAACAATATAGTTTTTAGCATTTAGAGCAATTTATGGTAAACTGAAAATGTGCTAAAGCCCACAAAATTATATACATGAGTAATCTCAGAAAAAAGGAGGAGGGAATACTGAAATGAAAGATTCTGTAAATCTCCTTTCATATAGCAACTGCATCCACAAATTCAAATTTAAGTTGAGGTCTCCTTGTCCACAGATTGCAAGGCTTCTATCGGTAACAAATCTGACAGACAGGCGTGCTCATTGTTTAAACTGTCACTTTACATACTTTATGCTCTTGCCCTGAAAATGTGAAAATAATGAGACTGACTCACCCAGAGTATGACTGAGGTTTGATTTGTTTTTCCAGTGCCAGCACTGGGTGTGTGACTCTGATGACCAAGGACAACCATTACTGAGATCTAAAGCCAGGTTGGAGAAGTGGACTTTAGCCTGAGAAGAATACATTAAATGAGAATATAAGTACCTTTGAAAATAATTTACCATATTTGCTATTATATAGCTCAGCAATTTTTTCCAATGTGTATTATTTGAAATTTTAACATTATGGCACATTTTATTTGCTCTGGATACAATAATTTAATTTCTCAGATTTGCATTTTTCTTTAGATATGTTTTAATTGTGCCAATCAAATGTTATGCAATGGAGTTGAACTTGAGAAAACAAAACAGAGAAGTAAGAGGTAAGAAGGACAAAGATTTATTCAAGTCCTTTTTAAACTATGGATTATCAATTTTGGAACACACAGTACAAATTATTTGATCCCTTATCACTTAAGCCATAAAATACTGAATATAATGAAGTCTTAAATACCAAATTAACTTCTTTAGTGAATTAACTTTATTCTGCTTACTTCTTTGCTTTCGTGAATTTAATTTTTTTTCTTTAATTCTTTTAAAAATTATCTTTAAAGATAGCTAACAAGTACCACAAAATTACTTAAGCATTTGTCACTGTATATCCATAGACACAGCATTCCTTGTACAAAATGTACACTCTTCAGTAGTTCATGGTATAATTTGGAGAGTCTGAAGTTTCATTTTTGAAAACTTAATGCCTGAAAGAATTGATATAACTTAACCTCTTAGGTTTGTAAAGTGAATTTCATTTATTTCGTCTTATTTATTTACTTTGTGTGGAAGGAAACAGGGTATGCATCACCTCAAGTTTCTGATCCAAGGCTATATATATCAGGGAAGTGTTTAAACATTTAAGTGTTAGAGTAAGACAAAAAGAGTCAGATGCACACATTTACTTAAAAAGTTATTACATGAGTGAATTGTGAAGGTAATGTCAAAGGTAATAATACTTTAAGCCCCTACCTGTACGTTCTTGGGCCCAAATTACAAAAGCAAGAAAGCAAATGCAAATGTGGCTGCTGGTCTAAGACTTCCTGAAACAACAAAATGGTCATGAAGTTTGAGGTTTTGTTTGTTATTTAAACAATATAACAGAATAGATTCCTGGGCGCCTGGGTGGCTCAGTTGGTTAAGCGACTGCCTTCGGCTCAGGTCATGATCCTGGAGTCCCAGGATCGAGTCCCACGTCGGGCTCCCTGCTCAGCGGGGAGTCTGCTTCTCCCTCTGGCCCTCCCCCCTCTCATGTGCTCTCTCTCATTCTCTCTCTCTCAAA